TTTGTAAAGACTAAAGGTCAGTTTTATATTATTGGATATGGTAACATGAGTGCACATTCCCCACATCATTGCATCTTCTATAATGTTTGTCAGGCACAGTTGAAAGGTCATTCTAATAAAAATATAAATGTTTAATGTTATGAAATTTAAAATATTTAGACTAAACATTTGTGTTATAATTTATAGTCATTCTAGAACAAAAGAAGCATAATTTATATTTATTTCCTAATTTTTTATGGAGGTTATGAAGTTGGTGAAATCGAACCAACTTAAACAAGAGAAACATTAGTGAAAATAACTGATAAAATATAGTTTTTTTTTCAAAAATTTTTATAAGGTTATAAAGATTTTGCATATAAAATTTGAAAATGTTCTGATGCATAAAAGTATTTTCAATCTTAAAATTAAAATTACTTTGTATGTTGGATAGTCGACATTCCAAAAGAAAAAAAATTATGAGAAAATCTTTAATTAAAAAGTCTTAATACTTAATTTAAATAACTGATATTTTGTGTACAAAAGCCTTGTAATATTTACAGAAACTGCAAAACTTTGTAAAGATATGCTTACGTTATCAAGAATCATAGTATAATTACCTTCGTGCATACTTTTGTGGTTACAAAGTTGGTGGATTCCACCCAGCCCACAATGTAAGGGTTAAATAGTAAAGACTACAGTAGTTTTGTTTCTCTTTTTTTTTATCTTTTATATTTTGGTTATAAAACTGCTACTTGTGAAAGATCATAAGAATAATTGTTATGCTACATAACACCTATACATGTGAAGTGTAATCTGTAGATTGATAGTTTGTGTGATTTTACATCACAATAAGGTTGACAGTAATTTTTAACAAATATTTCTTTACTATCTCTATATGGTTCCTCATCAAGAAAGATGTAGTATTTCAACTGCAGGATAGTTTTGTAGGGATCGTGAAAGTCATAAGTAAATAGTGGTATAAATTACAAATGTTTTCTCAGTTGTTAGGTGTTCAAATGTAAACTACTTTTTGCATGTTATCTATTTTCTGTTGAGTTATTAACAAATAAACTTACCAATTAGTTTTGTAGTCTTTAGTTTATTATTAAATCAGCACGTTATCCTTTCATGTAGCTATTATAGATTTCTGCAAACATATTATTTAAAGTATTTTCACATGTTTGTGTTCAAAAATTTATATTGCACGGTTTTGAGATTTTTTGTTTGTTTTTTTTTCCTTCCCTAGGGCCTATTTAGGATTGGTGGGAGTGTATCAAAAGTGAAGAAACTGAAAGTAAGTACTAATAATGAAAACCCTTGATAGAATAGATGTAAAGGTTAAACTTGTTGTATTACAGATGCTACTTATGAATCAGTTGGTATAAAAGTTATTGCTTGTGGTTATTGTATATGCATTGTTTTAAATTATTATATTTTGTTATTTAAGTTCAGATTTTTTTAAAGACTATGGGACTGAGTCACTAGAACAGAGCTTGAGATAATTATTAAATGTTTTGCCACTTCCTCATTAGATTACTTCGACCATGTGATCCCCAAAATGAACGTTAGTTTCCGTAATATAACTTTTAACATGTTTGTATATCTTCATGAAATTTTTCAAGCATTACAAGTTTTTTGTTTAGAAAAAAATCAGAATTTTTATTTAAGAATTTTTACTAAAAATTTGCCCATTGATTTGTGGAGTTAGTGTTGACTGCTCCAAGTTAAAGTGATTTTCATGCTAAGATCAAAAATACTTTTCTTTGTCTGAAAATTTTCAAATTTCATTTTTGTAATCTATAAAACCTCCTAAATAAATATAAAATGTCTTTAAGTTAGTAGTAGTATTGTTTTATTCAAATAAATATTGACCATGAAGTTCTAAAGTGTACTTCTCCTGAGAGTTTCAACTTCTAACCTTTTCACATCCATTTCCTATGTATATTTTACTGTTGGTGACTGAAGTAGAAACCTGCCAAACCTAAAGCAATGAATCACCACTCTTGCCATTAGACTGATTTTGTGACACCATAGTACCACACTGTCAATACCAAATAAGCTTGTGAGACATAGTTACCAGAACTTTCCCACAGACTCTGAGAACACAGCTTGTTTACAGAATTGTCTAAATTAATAAAAGTGTGAGAAAATGTTTATGCTATATCTCTGTACAATGTCTGGGTTGATCAAATGACCATAGGAGATACTTGGATATTAGATATCTTCTCAGGGTGGTTGGAATTTAGTGGTAAAGGAGTACAAAGTGTGTATGTGTTTATGAACATGTATGTATATTATTACTATATACTCATAAACACTTAACGTTTAGTTATTTTTCTTCAAACATAAATATAAAAGATAAATATATAGAAAAACAATGATGTCTAATACTACAATGTTACAAAATTGATTTGTCGTACTTGCTAAGCCTTGGTTTTTCTCAAGTGGAGGAGAAAAACAAATTAATTTTTGTAGATTTCAAAGATGGATTTTAGAAAACCAAAAAATTATCAAATTGCTATACTGGTGCACATAAAATCACTAAGTTATCTGGCTTTCTACCTAAGCTATATGTGGGTAAAAAAATGCAGTTTTTGTTCAGAGCAACAACTTACTCAACAGACTTGATAATTCACAGTCATATTACAAGTTTCCCCTTCAAGCAAATTACAAACAACTGTCAGATTTATATAGTTTGGAATGTGCCTTTTCTCTTGGTTATAAACTTGTTTAAGAAAAGTAGTCATGAGCAGACAAGAGGTTTAAAAAGAGTGGAGTAGTGGGTGGAGCTATTCTGGAAAGTTTACAAAATAAATTGATATCTCAGCAAATCAAAAAGGTGGAAAGCTCTTATTTTATATTCTAGCTTGTTTTAGTTTCTAATTCTTTTAACCACTATAGATGTTGTATGGTAGGCATAATAAAACATAAACGAGCAATAAGACAAGATGTGCCATATGACGTACAAAAATTAATATTTAGTATTTCTTGTAATATTGTTTTTTGAATTAAGAAATTAGATATATATAATATCAAAATCTGAATTATAAACTATGATTTAATGCCAAGTCTATTGATGTAAAATGATAATAAAGTTGTTTAATTAAATGTTGAAATTAATTATTTAAAACACTGTGACATGCAACCTTTGACCAGTCTGTCCTGAGAGGATTAAAAGTGATTTATTTGTTTGTGGAATGTTTGTTGATTTTTTGTTTTATGTGTTCTTTAATATGTTGTTATATGTATTCACACATACATACTGTCTTGCCAGAAGTATCTAGAAATGCAGTCATAGGGGAGGAGGGAGTCTTAATGCTCACTACCCTAATGTGGAATAATACTCCCATGCAGGGCATGTTCTTAGTACTGTTCAGCACAGCATGTTCTCATCTAGGTTTCACTAAGCGTTTAGTGCTGTTTGTCCCCATTATTATATCAAAGGTGCAGCTAGTTGATTATTACTGGAAGGCTGTGGTTTAACACTTTAACTTAACCCCACTACAGTTTGCTTTCAAAGATATTTTGTGGAGTTTAAAAGGTCTAATCAGGCTATTCCAAGATGTCCTTATTGTTTCTTGTAAATTAGACCTAACTTGTATGTGTTTTATAGTAGGAAACAGTATAGGGCCATAATAACATATTGACCTGCTGATTAACGCTTGATCCCTAGGACTGACTTCGTAACCATGTTGTGCTTGTTATAGTTTTAATGCTATAACTTTTAAATTAGTAAGCATATGTTCATGAAATTTGGCAGATCATCAGTAAATATTAAAAGGCTTTCATATGCAAAATATCAGATTTTTTTTATTAAGACTTAAGGTTTGTTAACCAATGTTTTTCTCCTGCCTTTTTTCTTTTTGCATGTTGCCTATTTAACATGCAACGTAATTTTCATTTTAAGAATAAAAATACTTTTATACATCAGAAAATTTTCACATTTCACATGCAAAATCTTTATAATGTTCAGATAATTATAAAATGTATCTTAAGAAAAAACTTTATATTTTATCTGTTATTTTCTCTGTATGAGTTTGGTTGATTTGACTGATCTCAAAACCACCAAAAACAAAAAAAGGAAATAAATATAAATTATGCCTTTTTCATTCTAGATTGACTACAAATTATAGTATGAAAACACAAATATTTAGAATAAATAGCTTTAATCTCGTAACATTATACATTTATATATATTTATTATTTTTATTATACTGACCTTTCAGCTATGCCTGGCTAACAATCCAGAAGTTACAATGACACAGTGCACGTGCACTCATGTTACCATATCCAATAACATAAAACTGACCTTTAGTCTTTACAAAGTAACCTGTCTTGGCTGTGTTTTAGTGGACTAGTATTTTGTAAAATACAGTCACGTTTCAATTATAATACATAATATATGTATGTACGTTATTACTATTTACAAATAATTTCTTAAACTTATTTTTCTTTAAACATAGAACAGTATATAAAGAAATAAAGCAAACAATTATCTCTTCTAGTTATGACCTTCATACTCGTTTGCTGCTTGTCGTACGTTGCTTAAACCTTATAAAATTTTGCACATGGGGGGTTGTGAAATGAAATAATTTTTTAAAGTTTTATATATACATTTGAAATAACAAAAAAATCGTAAATTACAATATTGATACCATAGAATTCAGCTATAATTTATCAAGCTCAGTAATTAAGCTGTATTTTGGTTTAAAAAAACTATGAAATTTGGAGCAGACTAAAGACTCATCTTACCACCTTGAAGATTAGTATCAAAAGAATGAGATGACATCATAATACTTGAAAATTACTAAGAAAGCCACCAGGGGAACATTCTGAACTTTCAATTGGGTATTCACATGTCATATACAGAAGTGTATATAAGGGAGCAGTTCCAAAAATGGAAAGAGGTGATTGGGGCAACTGTGTTTGATTCAGTAAATGAGCGATATCTCAGCAAATAGAAAAGATAGGAGGTATTCATTTTATATTCTCACTTGTTAATATTGGTAATTTGAGTTCCTAATTTGTACAAAATTATAGACTTTGTATTTTAACATCACAAACATATAATTTGAACCAGTGCTGCATTCAACATACCACGTGACACACAAAAATTGACGTTTAGGTGTGTGTTTTTTAACATTTACTTTAAAATTAAAAATTAAATAATGTAGAATACTAAAACTTGAATTATAATCTACAGTTTGATACCAAAGTTATTGACATAAATTCATAAAATAGCAGTTCAATAAAATTTTGAATGCGAGTCAGCAAACATGATGACATGTGACCCGTGTGGAAAGGGTCAACAAACCTGTGTCAGAGTTCCTGGAACATGCAGTTTAAGAATTGGTGATATCCATGGGTATTTATATGTTACAGTGTCAAACACTCTATATGTAACTCAACAGCTCACACCACAGTTTTTTATACATGACATGGCACAGTTAACTTGTTCACCCACCTGCTTCTACACTAATATTTTTTCATTACTTTGAAACTGGTTGAAGTTGTTCTCATCTGTTCAAAAATTTTAAAATGGTGGTCAAGATTTCAGTTCTGATAGGTTTCACGCCAGAAAAATGGTGCTGAGTATTCTTTGAGGTATTACACTGTTGGTTTCTTCAATTTTTGGATGTTAAGTGCTTAATACCACAGAATAGTCTTCTGTATAGATTAAGTATGAACCAGCATTGTGGTTATTTGGTTGGTACTATGCTAAGGTAGATTATTAATCACAGAGTGACTTTGAAAACTCTGTACTAGATTTTTAAAATAGATTATTAACCACAGAGTGACTTTGAAAAACTCTGTACTAGATTTTTAAAATATATTATTAATCACAGAGTGACTTTGAAAACTCTGTACTAGATTTTTAAAACATATTATTAATGTTTTATGGTTTATTCTAATTTGAAGGGAAGAATATTTTAAAAACAAAGTTACATACACAGGTGCTAATAAAATCAGATCTTTTTCTTTTTTTATACAAATTTTGTTTGTTTTTTAGCTAATTTTTCTCAATATGTCAGCCTGTTTTTAAATATATTTTTTCTTGGTTCACTGTAGATAGTATGTGAAATTTTAGTTGTTTTTTATATACATTTTCTGCATTGCAAATTAATTGGATCATAAAATCTCTACAACTAATACTCTTAAGCTCATCCTTTTGAGCAATTGGATCATTTTGCACAGCTTGTTGCCTCCCAGTGGAACAGTGGTATGTCTGCAGAGATTTATACCGGTAGATTATGGGTTTCGATATTCGTGGTGGGCAGAACACAGATAGCCCTTTGTATAGCTTTGTGCTTAATAACAAGCAACAAAACAAACAGCACAGCTTGTTATTCATTTTGGATAAAATGAAGTCTTCAGATTATTGGTAAATTAGTTTAGTGATACTCTGTTATTTATATAACAAATGGTATTTTTTGGTACAGATAATACAAAATGCAACTTGAATAACAAAAGTTCATGGAATTTGTTTATCCATAAATACTTGTGAACAAATAAAGATGAAGTGAGCAGTAACTGCTTAGTTCAGTGTGACACTTGATGTGAAAGTCATGGAAGACTAATCTACAAAAGTAGCTCAGGTGGAAAGGGGGATGTGACTTTGGAAAACCTTTTGTCGTTTTTCTTGAAGTATCACTCTGAACTAGGCAGTTACTGCCCATTTTAACTTTGCTTGCTCATCATAAAGTCTGCCTAAATCATCTATAAAATAACTACTACTTGTATTGGAAATATATTTGTTTAATATTCTTGAAATATTTATTTTTGTGCTGTGCCTATAATTTTTTCAAAGTTAAAAATTTTGTAATTAGTTAATTAGTATACTAGTAAGTGTATAAAGATGAAAAAGAATCAAATGTGACTCATAATTTCCATTTTAAATTTAGTGTTTGTTTTTAACATAATAATAGATTTAAGTGTGTGTAACAATACTGACTTTAGTAAAGTTTAAAACTAACTTCATGATAGATTCAGTAGTAATTCAGAGATTTCATTTTTTATAGAATTCTTTTGATGCTGGTATTGTAGTTGACATGAGTGAATACAGTCGAGACCCCCACACTGTTGCAGGTACTTGTATAGTGATTTTTTTTAGACAGGTAACGTAGAATGTGTTAAAAGTAACTTGTTTTGTATTATTAAAGAATTATAAATAATGTGCTATGAATTTTTTCAAGCGTAAATTCTTGAATATTTTTTTCTGAAGTGTGGATTTCATATTTATTAAATAAGAGTTTTAGACATCATGTAGCTTTTTATTAGTCTTTTTGGCCTCAAATTTAAACCAGTATTTATTAAGATCTTGGACCAATATAAGCTAACTATATAAATCAGAACCAAAAAGTAACTTATCATTGAAGCACTTTTGATGTTGCAGTGTTGCTAATTTTTTTCTTTATATGAATCTTTCTATTTTACTTCATTACATATATAATCAGTTTGTGTGAGACTTAGGACATTGCAAAATGTTAAGAACTCAATTTTTTAGTCAATTATTTTTGCCACTTGCTTCACAAAATGGTTGGATATAAACAAAACCCATCATTAATCTTTCACTATTCAGATTGCTTATAACTGCAAAATTCCACATGATTTCAAGTAGTTGTTAATACATCTTTAATAAACATACCTGCTCATTAATAAGTTGACTTAATAAATAATAAGACATCAGCAATAGTAAATACAATAACTGATAGTATTACCAAATATTAACCCTCATCAGCGCACCTTTGAAAAGTTACATTATGGAACACCTGGGAGTCCAACTGGACCCCAGTACAAAATTACTATTATAGGAAGCTCTGGATTGAAATTCCAAAAACTACTTGCATCACAACTTTTATTATGGTTAGCATGCACTGTGAACAACTTAAAAATATATGTATTCTAGAGGAAATATGTTGACAAATCAAGAAATTATGAAATTAAATTGTCCATCAGTATACATATAAGTAGTATTAAACCATTCCTTATGCAAACAATGTATCAAAAAATGCCAAAGTTTTGTTATACTCCTATATTCAAGTCATTATCTATCAATATATGATGAGATTACTACAATACTGCAAACTTAATCAATTTAAAGAAAACTGAAAGTAGATGTTGTGGGTCACCTTGGGTCTGACCAGACCCTAACACAGAACATAGCCTTGTAGTAGGCTATGTATTAAAAATCCAATAAGCAGGTTATTTACAACAGTTCTCAAACAAGGTTTCTATAAAATAGGGCATTATAACCAGTCGTCACAGTGAACACTTGTTGAGGAATGATACTGTACTACTCTGATGGATTATCCTCTAAAACAGCCAATATAGTGAAATAAATGTTTATAAATTTTTTCTTATGCTATAGAGCAAACTCCACATGTAGTGATGGTAAATTATAGTTTGGAGTCCATGTAGATTATAACTGCATACTCCATTTGCCTGCTTCAAAAACAATAGTGTCACATTGATCCAGGGTTTCTGCTTGACAATTACATGAAATGATATAAATTTGTAATGATTATGTAAAAAGATTTACAACTGATAAATTTGTTGGGATCTGTGTGGACTGATGAGGGTTAAACTAATGCAATCATTATGTAATGAAATGTTATATAACTTACAATAGTGAAATATAATATATATGATCACTTGATGTACTTAAATTGTTTATTATTTTCTTATAAAATTTAAAAATTAATAGTTAAAAAATTTTGTTTGAGACAAAGTGGTTTTGGAAAGGTTGCAGTATTCCAAAAAATTACTTCCATTTAAACATTATCATTAGAATATTGCATTCTCTACAGAATGACACAATATGACAACAGATCACAAAATAAAGTTTGAGTTTACAAGTTAAAAACATTATAAGCTATGCAAATGATATATTAAATTTAAACTTAGTTATGTAGTTTAACACTAAGTAAGACTGGATTAAGATTTTTCACCATTATAAATATAGCAGAGACAGAATTAGGATTTGGAAAAGGGGTGATCCAACTCTTGGACCAGAATATCAGCTTAATGATATAGTGGCTTTATTGTAACGATGCATGCAATTCCTTAATAATATGTTATTTAATAAAATAAATATACAATATCATCAACATTTCAATTAATCAATTTAATCATAATTTCAGTTAAATTGATAAGTTTACACGACACTAATCACTTGTCAAAGGTAACTGATTATATCAATTAAATCGCCCAGATCTATTATCATAATTAATTTTATGCAGCTTTAAAAAGTAACAGTAGGTCTACATTTAATGACAACAAGCTAGTCACTTAATTATGACTACAGTAATTCACACTTTTAGCTATCATTCATAATCAACAATCACCTCAAGTTAATAAAACCTATATTTTTAAGAAACATTTAATGCATGACTATCAATATTAGTAAATAAACCTATATTTTTAAGAAACATCTAATGCATGACTATCAATATTAGTAAATAAAGAGTGGACAGAGCTTAGATGTCCAGGAGTTCAAGACTCCCTTTATTTTCCTTCACAAAAAAAGAATAGAGGTTTTTTTTTGGTTTGTTTTGAATTTCGTGCTAAGCTACACGAAGGCTACCTGCACTAGCAATCCCTAATTTAGCAGTGTAAGACTAGAGGGAAGCCAGCTAATCATTACCACCCACTGCCAACTTTGGGCTACTCTTTTACCAATGAACAGTGAGATTGACCATTACATTATAATGCCCCATGGCTGTAAGGGCAAGCATGTTTGGTGGGACTGGGATTCTCAAATTGCAAGTCGAGCGCCCTAACCATCTAGCCATCCCGAGCCAACAAGATTAGAGACCTTGTTACTGAGTTTGTGAAGTTTTAAAACAAGAAATAATTATTTTATACCATTACTGAATAATGGAATGATATATCCATTATTACTTTCAAAATAAATGATTGTCATGAAAATAATGAACTAATTGAAACTGAGGTTTCTAATTATTACTATTTTTGACTATTCCAGCTATCCAAGTAATTAAAATCTTAGTATTACATTTGTTTGTTGTTAAGCACAAAGCTACATAATTGGCTAATTTTGAGCTGCTAACTAGAGGGAAGGCAAGAGCCAATCTTTCCTTGTTTTTGCTTGCATGTACCATGGCTGGAGCTGTACTAATCAATTAATCTAATATAATCAATTACTGGGGCCATCAATACTTGATAAGCAAATACCACTAATCCCCCAGCTTTATATAAGGCCATGAGTATTAAACTATGAATGATTTGTCAGTCACAGTGTATCTGTTGTAGTTTGGAATTATAGCTGATTTGGCATTTCTCACAAAAAAAGTGTCATGAAAATAATAAGCATGTATAATTCTTTCGCCGAGACTGGTATATTATGTTACCATTTACAATCTACACATTTTGGCAAACCAGCTCTCCTGTGCTGTTATAGTTAAATCAAGCAAAGAAATCAGGGTGCATATGCATCCTTGAAATTGAGAATAGGATTTCAAGGGCTTGAAAGTGCTTGAAAAGGGGCCTATTTTTGCAAAAGTACTTGAAAGTATTATAATAGCAGTATATATGTAGATATCTCTAACCTTGATACATTTTGCGGAGTTGAGCACAATAAATAAAGTCTTTCTTTTCTTTTTAGTCTACATTCATATGTTGAAGAAATAAATAGGAATTTTATAAAATTTCAGTGGAATCTGATTGATTTTGATGTACATCTTAGAATGGCATGGTATCAATGACAAAAGTTATACAGCAATGTTTATGGATTGTTCCTCACAATATTTACACATTTTATTTATTTTTAATTTCATTGCTTTGTGTTGTATAGAGCATGTTACTCTGTAGATGCCTGTAACATGTATAAGATATGTAAATTGTTTTCTTACTGACTTACAATACAATTAGCTATTTCTCATGGTTCATACTGAATTGCTCAGATCAATTTCAAGCACTTTCTAATCATTCTCAGAATGTTTTTCAAGCACTTTTTGGAAGCTAAAATGGACTCAGTCTTCTTAACAAAACTAGAAACAGTTATTAATTTCTTTCAAATTTTTGTCCTTTTTTTAAATGAAACACTGTGTGTACTTTTATGTTTTTTGGCCTAAAAGACTCCCCTTGTATGCATGATCAAGTAGCTTTACAGTGTTTTCTCCAACTGTGTTGTTTTATGTGGTTTTTACTATTTTTTATTTTAGTAAGTAACAATAAGGGGTTAATTACTTTGATCTTTATTTTGTTTGCTTTGATTGGTAAACAATTTGTAAAATATTTGAAATAATATGATTTTTTGAAATTTATTACTTATGGAAGTGTGTGAAATTATAAATGCATGCATCTTCCAACTCTAAGTCACATGTTTAAATTCATCTCTTACTAATGTAATGTGAGCTTTGCTGAGATCCAGTGATGTATGTGTCCAAGCCAAAACAGAAATTCATTGAGGATCATTCTTAATGCCTGTTTTGTAAAAATAAGATAGAAAATTGCTCATAGATAAGACTTAATTAAAAATAAATATTGGTGTTGGAACAATCACAAAATTTAGTTTAACTTATTGAAATGATCTGAGAAAATCAACGAATGTGTATACTGCAAACCTAATGTGGTTCAATAGAAGGACAAATTGTAGGAGTCACGACCATTTTTAGTAGTTGCATGTATATATATAAAACTAGAAAATATAAAAAGGATATTCGTTGAAAGACATTAGAAAATGGTCTTCTGAGCTTGGTTGCCTGAAATACAGCAAAAGGTGCTTTTAAGATCTGTAATTAATAAAGTGAATATAAAAATGCAAGTTCTTTATAAAAGCTGTGTCTAAAGTATTATCAGTGTACATGTGATTATTCTTTCATATATCTGTTGAAGTTATTTGATTTGCTGTATATATTTGATAAGCATAATTATTTGTTGTATAAAATGGTATAAATGAACTTCAGATTTCCATTTTTGGCATATTGAAATGTTATAACTTTGTTTTCTAAAAGTCAACTTTCTATTCGTTATGGATCAGAAAGATACTACTATGAAGGCAACTTTATAAACATCTTTTAAATACAGCTGTCTTATTGTGCAAATTTATTAATTTTTCAATGTTTCATGTAATATTGTAAGAGTTACTAAGTGATATCATTATTTTTTATGTTGTATTTAAATTATGAAAATGATATATTGTTTCATTTATGACTGAATCAGGTGCTTTAAAGTCATACCTTCGTGAACTTCCAGAGCCTCTTTTGACCTTTGACCTCTATGATGAGTGGATGAATGCAGCAAAGTAGGTCTCATGTTATAACATACAACATTAGAAACTTGCTGTTTAATGAGATTTTAGGTAGAATTTTATGATCTAACTAATAAATGAACAGTTCTCCAAGTTTAAGGTCTTGTACTATCAGTAGGTATTATAAAGGAATTCAGCAATCTAGCATAAAAAACCATGAATGTTAGGATAATGCAGCTTTGGTTGTATATAGACATGGCAAGTAGTTCCATTTAATAACTAGTTGCCATCAGAGAGAGAGCCACAAGTTATCTAGTTATACATTCTGTAGGAGCCTATATGCTATCCTGTTTCTCTCAAGTTATTCTCTGACTTATCATTCTTGCCATAGCAATGAGGCACAGTGAACTTGAAATGTCAACATTTCATTGTAGCACCTGCATAACTGAGTTTGTTGGCCATCTTGTATAATCTCAACCTATCACATTATGCATATGAAACAAATTGTTGTCCTTCTGGTGAGCATTTGTTTTGTGTTGAAATTACTTCTGCATATTCTGCAATGTCTACACCAAAAGTTTCATTACCCTGTCATCTGTGGTTTTGAGGCCAGTGTTCAAACATCCATCATCCAAGAGATAAATCACTAGTGTTGGGAATTGATTATAAAATTGTGTTTTGTGATTGATTATTTGTAGCAATGTAACCATTAATTAAACAGCCCTGTGTAATTCATGATTGTGGTTAATTTTATTGATCATTTTATTTATTAGAGGACATTTTATTAATTAGTCTGACTTTTACTATGGGATTTAGCATTTGTAATCATGAAAGTATGATTTGAAATATTATCCAAGTACTTTGTTGGGGACAGAAAATGACCAGTTTTTGGTATAATTGGTGATTGCACACACCACTAGTAATTACTTTCATTAATAATTTTGTTGGTTTTTCTATTCATAGTTTGATTTTTTTGAACAAAATTATAAGCAGCAAACAACAGAAAAATGAACATACTTATATTTGCACTGGCACAGTTCTCAGTATTGTAGCATCAAAATGTAATTTCCGTTTGAACATCTATAAAACTCATAATTAATCAAAATAAGTAACAAGTTTATTTGAAATTTTTTTAAACATTTCAGATGTAATTTCTTTTCCTCTTCTTTAGATTAAAAACACAAGTTTTCATGCTCACACAGGACTGTGGGAAACTTTTATCACATTTGGTTATTTGTGTGCAAAATTAAAATAATACCAGTTACTGGTATTTTAAAAATGAATCACATTATAACAACATCAAAATATAACATATTTTTCAATGTCTAAACTAACTGCTTCAAATTAGAATCAGTTTTGAACTGTTACTGTTCTTGGTTGCCAATCTGAAACTTGAAAAAGTTAGTTCAGATATTATTATACCTTTTTTTATTGCAACCAATATAAGCTTAAAATATTTATCTTGCATGTAATAGTAAGAAACAAATAAGAAACAACTCCTTTTTTTGGAATGCTGGACATAAGAAAAAGCTATCTTAAATAAATTTGAATTAAAATAAATAGGCAAAAAAAATTACAGTGGCAAATAAACTGTTTTCAAGTTTTTAATATGTGATATTTTTTCATTTGCTTTTGTTATGGGTTAACACATAGTTCCATAACATAGCTGCCTAGTGCTCACTTGTTTGAAAGTATCAGTTAATAAATACCTACAGTACTTTTCACACACTCACTAAAGTTTAATAAACCAACTTGTTTATTTTCACTCTTTACACAGAACTACTGATTCTGAGATGAAGATACAAGCACTACAGTTGGTATTACAACAACTGCCTGAAGCCTACTATAAAAACTTGAGGTAATTTTCTTTCATTTAATAATGCAAAGACTAAGAAACTTGTAGTTTTCAAGAATTTAATTTTAATAAAATATATATTTTTTAGTTTTATTCAGAGTATGTACTGAATGTGTTATAATTAAATGACTAAAGTATAACACCTTATTATGTGTTTCTACAGGCTTTCCAAAAGTGCGGATATTTCTCTCTTTATTTGTTATTCTCGCTAGTTTAACAAAACAATACATCCTGTAAGTTTTTGCTAACTATAGTATTTTGATCATATTTTTGTGTCTGTAGTTTAGGCATGTTAACAAATCAGAATGTTAAAAACATTAAACAAACTTGCACTTTGAGAAGCAGCAGAAGTCTTGCATTCTGCTGATTTAACATGAACATCAGTTGAGCAGTCATCAGACTTTCAAATCCATGGTTGCTCTCAACTCTTCTAATTATCACAAAGGTATTTGGTCAAAATATGCCATACAATACTCAGATTTTTTATATGGGTAGACAACCTCATGGTGGTGTGGCCCAACTACTCCTACCATATATAGCCAGTATATGTGGATTTATAAGGTTCAAATAATCATTCATTCTTTTATTCTTAAAATCAGTTTGGATACTCGTCAACTCTATAGTTGTGGATACACGCTGGTCAGGAAAGAACTTTCTTTTTCAGTATGTTGTGACTATTTAATGTCACCCTAGTACATTGGCTAGTACAGTTCGTTTTCAGCCACATTCAGCTCTATAACTTTAGAAGTAGTAAGCTTGTTACATTTCAATGACATTAATACCAACAAAACAAATATTTAGTGCAATAGATTTTAAACACTTCTTGATACAACATATTTCTTCATGCAGCAGAAAATGATTATACATAATCCTGTGAGATTTACCAAGATTTTCACAAAATTAACTTTGAATGTTCTGTTACTAAAACCATCAAAATGAGTATACTTTCTTGAAAAACGTTAGTTTCAAAACTACCTTGCTGACTGTGTATCTGTGTACCCAAGGAAAGTAATCTTCATTATATTCATGCTCATCTGTGAATTTTATATTTGGATATTTATTGTTTAAATACAATGAAAATTCATTAACATGGTTAAAAAATAAAATTAGTTGAACATTTTTCCAGCTATAACTTTTTATAATAACTTAAGAACAAATTAGTTATAACAGGTACAAGTTTGATCTCGTACTGATCCCATCAACCTGATTATGAGTAAAGCTTTATATGATGTAATTTAACTTAATTATATATATGACAGCAATTTAGAAGAAGATAGTTTTAAATTCCCATTCACTGTGTCTGAATGTGAAAAAAACAAGAAGCTTGGAACACAAATCATTGGTTTCCTGTAACAGGTTATTGATTGTAAATAGTATATCAAAACTGGCTGTGTACACATTGTCATAAAACTCTAGGTTCTGCAAGGAACTACAAAGCTCAAAATAATCTTTAACAATGGATTCATTACTTGTCTTGAAGAGATTTTACCAAAACACCTGACTGTGATTATAAGTAAAGGGCCAATATTTGGTACTCTTAGACTTACAGGACAATCCATTTTCTGATTTTTAACCAAACTATACATGCAAAGTGATTAAACTAATTGGCTGTTATGCTTGAATAATGTATAGTTTATTTATATTATATCTTTATCATTTTTTAATCACAAAACAAGGTATATATAGTGTTACCCAAGAACGAGGTTGTTAAACTTTTTTAGTCTGGGACCCCCTAAAACAGTGAGGGTAGACATTCAAGACCTCCCATTTGTCAGGTAACTAAAAATCAATAGAATATAATCACAGTTCTAAAACTAAATCCTAGTATAATAATTTAGTTATAAATATACAGTTTATTTGTAAATTATTCCATGACTTTAAAAGACTTAATCACAAAACATGTAGAATATTTTTAAAAAAGTCCAACATAGCCTTTTGGTTAGTGTGCATAGATTGTGAATGGGAGTATTCGTGGTTTACATCCTGTAGCTTCCAAAACACTCGGTACTTTTGGACTGTGGACATGCTGTAAGAATGATGATGAAAATCTGCTATTAAGTCAGACAAGAGTAGCCCAGTTGTTGATGGTAGGTGTTGTTGACCAGCTTGACTCCTGCTTTAGTCTATTCAAAATTTGAGATGGCTTTGCACAAAAATCCAAAATGAACTAGAAAAGAAATATAAGGAAATTCTTTCCATGTAGTGAAAACAGCAAAAAGGCTAAGAAGATGAAGTAACTATCTCCTTGTGAACGTACAAGTCTTCCCTGTCTGAGGGCATAATGATTGAATGTAGGGCTTGAACAAATAAATTAAATCAAGATTTTGAATTTATATGCAAAATTTATTTCACACATAATTTACCTTACAACTACTTTATTTCACACCTACTTCATTCACACCTACTTTATTCCACATTACACAAATGGTGTTACAATTACTTTACTTTATTGTGATTGATTTTACCAATCCATCTCTACAGCCTCAGTGTTTGTTGATACTCTGAGTGATTCTTGATAGACCACATTAGAAGTTCTTCCTCCTTCTTGAGCCAAAATAAAGAGATTCTTGGTGATCCTACTCTTGAACACTCAACATAGAATGGACCATGTGAAAAGGAAGAGATTTTCAGGTGTAACCCTGCCTCTTTAAGGCTCTGACCTTGTGGTTTGGTTGCCATTTTTTCTAGCAAAAATGTAAATGTTTGACATTTTTAATGAAATATCTCAAATTAAAAAAAAAATTAAAGAAAAAAATTCAAAATAAAAAAAAATTAAGAATAAAAATTGATCTAAGACTGTGGAGTCATTAACTAAACAAACGATTTTTTTTGCAGTAGGCATAACCCAAGCTGGGTAGGGCTGGGTAATAACTGCCCTATGAAATGCTGCATGGTCAGGTATATCATTCTATCAAGTTTGATTGAGATTGGTCCAAAAACCATGGAGTAGTTTACAGACAAACGAACTATTTTTTTTTACGTTTATAAGTATAGATTTACAAAAAAAAAGGCTCAAGAGATTTGTTGCATCTTTTCAACTTCCTTGTAATTCCCATTGGAGCCTCCTGTGGAGTCATTACCCACAGTCTGAGAACGTTGGCTCTGGGGTAACAAGTACAATACACTGAAAAATTATTTTTCTATCCTGAGGATTCTTTAGTGAAATACACAAATAACAACCTTGTTATAGCTAATAGAGCTGAAGGTGAGTGACAAATAATAATATGTGAAGGTCTAATGATTGCTAAAGTGAACCCCATTCTTAGCCAGCAGATTTTGGCACCCTTCTTCTCCACAACTGTTAAGCTTATTGTAATTTTTTATTTTATTTTTTTGTGATGAGCATATAATTTCGACCTGTTGAAGGTTTTAGGTTCAAAGTTTTAATGGAATAATAGTGTAGGCATGCATTATGTTTTCTAGCTTAGTATTGTAAGTGCACTATAATGGTTGTTTACGTTGCTGACTTGTGAGAGTAATGAAGTTTTGATCTAAAAGGAGTGTCTTTTACCACTAGACAGCCAAAATTTTTTATTGGTTCTTAGATAAAGTTAAGAATATTTTGTAGCTAATCATTAAAGACAAGGTTATTATATACAGTACTTTTAGTTAGATTATTTTACAAATTAATAAATGACAGTCTTATTGAGATCTAAGAACTTAGTAGGTATTAGAAATATACAAATAACTAAGTGATTACAGCTGACTTGTAAGTTCTGTAGTTCAATAGATCAGCTTGCTGAAGTTTCACTACTTCCTGATGTTAAACAGAAAATTTACCTCAAAATAATGACATTTTGTGCTGTGCTTAATCACCACTGACAAGTACCTTGTCTTCACAATATTGTAAACTTGATTTAACATAATTCTAAAACAGCAACCTAACTTGACTGTTTTAACTCTTCTAGAAACTCAATCTTAAAACATCTTTTACAATATTTGAAGAAAAATTCTATAACCTTTTTCATTAAATTAGTATTATTTGTGCATTGAAGAAAAAACAATTCTGGTTTAATGCTACAATAAGACATATTGGCCAACTTCATAACTCATTGTTCTGTTGTTAATAAAAAAAATGTGATTTATATTCTAAAACAACACGTATACTTTCAAAACTTGTAGAGATAAGTTTAAAATAACAGTCTTGTGTGCTTTAGCAAATTGTTTTGCAGGTTTACATTATGCATGATTTGGGTAATAAAGTAATATCCATTGTCAACCTTAGTCCATAACATGATTTGGGTAATAAAGTAATATCCATTGTCAACCTTAGTCCATAACATGATTTGGGTAATAAAGTAATATCCATTGTCAACCTTAGTTCATAACATGATTTGGGTAATAAAGTAATATCCATTGTCAACCTTAGTCCATAACATCATTTGGGTAATAAAGTAATATCCATTGTCAACCTTAGTCCATAACATGATTTGGCTAATAAAGTAATATCCATTGTCAACCTTAGTCTATAACATGATTTGGCTAATAAAGTAATATCCTTTGTCAACCTTAGTCTATAACATGATTTGGCTAATAAAGTAATATCCATTGTCAACCTTAGTCCATAAAGTAGGTAAGTTGCAGTAGAAGTTTTGTGTTCAGATAATATTTTAAATGAAATAAACTACTATTTTCAAATATGGAAATATTTTTTTATTCAGTAGTAACATATTCATAACATTTCTAATTCATACATTGTGTTTTTCTGACTGATTTTGACTTAAATAAAATTTGAGATAAACCATATTTTAACTTATTATTTTTTAGATACATCATCAAATTTTTAGCTAAGCTGGCTACCAGAGCTGAAGTAAACAAGATGTCCCCACAAAACATAGCCATAGTTATTGCTCCCAATCTTATCTGGAACTCTGAACAGGACTCTTTACAGTTAGGGTAAGTATCTCTTTCTTTTTTGTACTTTTTAAAACTACATATGGTAATATTTGAAATAAATAGCATTAGTTGTTGTTTTTTGAATATGAATCTTGAAAACAAAGTTTATTCAATAAGAAATGTTTTGAATTTTAAAAAACAAACCAGAAATATTTAGAAATGTAACTTTTTGTGCATGATTTGGAAAATTCTCCATTTTCATTACTGATTCTTTAATCTTTATGATAATTTCCTTTACTTTCATGAAAGAGCGTCATGATAAATAGAAAATTTAAAAAAAACTCTTGGTGTATAATGTCAAGTGAAAGTAAGAACTTATGGATCTAATACTGCGTGTTCCTTCATTGTGAGTTATCTAGTGAAAGTAACTACTTATGAATCTAATACTGCATGTTCTTTCCTGGTGGGTTATCTAGTGAAAGTAAATACTTATGGATCTAATACTGCATGTTGCTTCATGGTGGGTTATCTAGTGAAAGTAAATACTTGTGGATCTAATACTGCATGTTGCTTCATGGTGGATTATCTAGTGAAAGTAAGTACTTATGGATCTAATACTGCATGTTCCTTCATGGTGAGTTATCTAGTGAAAGTAAATACTTATGGATCTAATACTGCATGTTCCTTCATGGTGAGTTATCTAGTGAAAGTAAATACTTATGGATCTAATACTGCATGTTGCTTCATGGTGGGTTATCTAGTGAAAGTAAATACTTATGGATCTAATACTGCATGTTCCTTCATGGTGAGTTATCTAGTGAAAGTAAATACTTATGGATCTAATACTGCATGTTCCTTCATGGTGAGTTATCTAGTGAAAGTAAATACTTATGGATCTAATACTGCATGTTCCTTCATGGTGAGTTATCTAGTGAAAGTAAATACTTATGGATCTAATACTGCATGTTGCTTCATGGTGGGTTATCTAGTGAAAGTAAATATTCAAAGATTAGGTTAGGAAAAACTTAGAACTTTAAGTATTTTCAAGAACAAAGTACTTAAACTGTGATGATTAACTAATAATCTGCTCCATCAGTATAATTTCTGTCTGTCTGCTGGATAAGTGAACTTCCTCTGTCTATAACTTTGCAAAACATATCATACTTATATATTTTTAAATCATACCTATATTGTGAATTAAACATTTATAGGTGATTGTAAAAGCTGCTTGTAGTTTCCAAGCCAGTAACTCATCTTATTACACAGACAAGCCATATTCCTTGTGTATTTACCAAAGAGATTTGGATACCACTAGCCTTGAGGCAACTCCCACATAATTTCAGCTGTTTTAATGTGAACTGCACTGGTACATGATGATGTCATCATGTGCCAAAAGCCCTTCATCAATACAAGGTATCTTGAGGGCTTTTACTCCACATATTCATGGCCATGGGCTGAAATTTCCTTTTTTTGGATGATTGATTTCTGTTAGCCCATTCTCTGTCAGTTTCTCTTCTCACACCTCCCTTTTTTACAGGAGGCTTCTTGGTTGGGAGGACTTATCATAATATTTAAATCCTTTCTCATGCCCACTCAATATTTGGTACTTTTGGGCATTTTTTTCATCTATTGTCTTGGCCATGTTCAACCCTGTCCTCTTCACCTGCAGACTATGGTGTCTCTGGTCACTATTTCTCATGTGGAGCACGGGAGACCCTTGCTACTTGACAGTTCCTAGCTGCTGGCATGGTAAACCACAGAGAATCCTCACTGGTTGGACATAGCACAATATGGTGAGAAATGGGATGGTGGTGACACTGTCAGTGTAGTGCAAGTCACCTTTTAAAACCATACTGTGTAACTAAAGTGACCTCTTCCTACAGCTGTCATCTATCCTACAGAGTCTGCTCAAAAGGAGTCGAGATAAGCACATCCTATACAAAACCAAAATACATAACTAATCTGCTTTCCTCCTGCAGCTGGAATCTGTTCTGTAGAATCTGTTCAGTAGAGGAGGTGAGCATATAAGGTATGGTGTGAAGATGCTCCAACCACATTACACATATTGGCTTAATGACAGCTTGTCTGAAAGTATTTGGATGGTAATTTTTGTATTCTGCTTGTCCCTGTGACACATGGGGGTCATTTGCTTCTCCCCCCCCCCCTTAACATTCTGGGTAAAGAGTATACCCTGGTTAAGACAGGATGTAGTCTCCCACGGTCGTGCCCCTATGGAGCCCCTGCCATCAGGTGTCACAATCTATGGGCTGGGATTTTCTGGAAGGAGTTCATTCAGGTACAATTTGCTCTGGCCCCTCTTCCAGTTTATCATGGGATATTAGCTTTTCTATATACAGAGGTGAGTTGTCATCTTGGAAGATAATATTTTCTTAATCTGAAAATGTGTTTCCTCGCACATTCCCACCAAACCTTTCCTCTTCCGATGCACAAGTTCAGTCTTGCCTTTTCAAGGAAAGAAGTTATAACAAGTTCAAGTGCATTGGAGGAATTTCTGAGCATGGAGGTTGTGTTGCCCTCCTTTTGGTGGATGGTTGTTGTCTCATGATGAAATCATCATGCACCAGTGCAGTTCACATTAAAAAAAAGAAATTAGATGGGAGTTGCCTCAAGGCTAGTGGCATGCATATCTCGTAGACCGATGCATGAAGAAGATAGCTTTTCTGTGTGTAGAGGTGAGTATCTATCAGAAATACAGTTTCAGATTAGGAAAAGGTTAAGTTTATTATTCTATTAAAATGTGTGTATTTTGCTAACGCAAGTAAGTTTATAATTGTTTTTTAACTTTCTTTTTTTTATAGTATGAATATGTCAGTTGCCAACTTCCACAGTATCATTGTGGAGTACTTAGTGAATCATGCTGATCAGTTTTTTCCTGGAGGTATGCGAAACAAACTTTTAATGTTTTCAACCCCCCCACAAGGTTATAAAGATTAACAAATATTTCAAAATATGTATGTACTATTACAAATCATTTATAATCATAATATTCATTTTGTTTTATGAAGAGTGTAGTGAACAAATTTTGTTAAAAAGTTGAATGAAAAGTTGAAGTTCTAGAGGTTATGCATATGCTATATACAAACTGTACAATGGACAAACATTTTTATTCTTAACTTCAATATCACCTTCCACTCAGATTTGTTAAGAGTCTAAGTCTATTTTATGTTGTCAATTTGCAGACATGTTTTGAAAACAGATACTTTTATAACAACAGACTTGTACATTTAACTAAAAACTTGCCACATTTTGTGTAGATACACGTAGAAGATTTAGAATTATAGTTAATATTCCTTCTCACATTAGACTGACCCCATGCATATTCAGTTAATTTTGGAACAACATTTACTTTCAATACTCTGAAAAGAAAAGTTTTTGGTTAACTGTATGTTCAACTGATGGAGAGAGAGAAAAGAAAATTATATTTTCAGATCAGCTGTTTATTTACTGAGAGCTCCCTATGTTATGACAAAAATTAATTGGCAGTTATAGTTAATACTTGGAAGGGCCTAACCAGTAGTACAATATTAATAATAAGCTGCTTGTTTGTTTTTCCTGAAATTATGTCTGTCTCATTAGAGAATTTTTACCCAGATATTGGTGCAGGTTCAAACTTTTTATAATAAATCCATAATCCTGGTGTTATGTATCATAAATATTTCTCATCTGAGTGTTTTATTTTCATGTCTTAAAAGTTGTTCAAGTAAGGAATTTAATTAGTTTTTTTCTAATTTTCAGAGACTCGCTTTTACGTATCAACTTCGAACCTGGACCGTTCAGATTGTTCAGGCAGTACTGGAGACTCTGAGCCAGAAGGAAGTTCTCCTGAGAGGTATGTTTCTGAATAAGCTAAAATAATTAAATTTAAAAGATAATATTACTCAACTTTGTTTACTTCAAAACAAAAAGCAGTATTTGTAGTTTATTTTACACACATTGTGATGATATAAATGATTAGAAGATGCTCTATTGCAATATTTGTAAGTTGAAGATATGATGTTTAATATAAATATTTTGAGATAATTAGGACTGATTTACTTAAATTTTTATAAAAATGTGAAAATTTTAATGCATTTATTTAATATGGTCCCTTGAAAGCATTGTTTTAGTCTTTCTAAGGAAATTGTCAGTAACCATTTGTTTTCTTAGTTATTGACAAGCTTAAGAGAATCCACTAATTGTCTAGAATCATCTTGTAGTTTAGTCTAAAAGACAAGAGCTTATAACAAATCCAACAATAACTGAGGAACTAGTGTATGAAACTTTTAAGCAAACATTTAGTGAAATCAAATCATCTAGATATACTTTTTTAGCTCATCCTTTGTCAGCATCATAATTGCAAAAATTATTTATGTGTTATAAGACATGGAATTTTTGACTTATTAAACATTAAGCCCCCCCCAGTGGCTCAGTGGTATGTCTGTGGACTTACAGCACTAACAAGTTTCAATACATGTGATGGGTACAGGTAGCCCATAGTGTAGTTTTGTATTTAACTACAAACAAATCTTTTTCTTAACTATGGTATGTTTCTTGTTTAGTTTCTAAAGTAAAAGTGATTATTAAGCTCAAGTTGTCATGTCTAGATATATGACACAAAATTTTTCTTGAATTTAAGTTGCTTATCAGAATTTCCGAAGAGAAGACAGTCTTTTAAAACATAAAATATTTATGCTCATAAAAACATGAAAACTTTTTCATTCAATTGCAATATTTCTTCTTGTTCTTTTATAAATATTCTTTGACCAAACAATATCTGAAGCACCTTTTCATCAAATTGCTCATTAATTTAATAGCTTGATTGTTTTTAACCTATTGTTTTCTACATAATATATTCATAATTTTCTAAGAATATAGTAATGCTTTGTTCATCATTAAGTATTTTTGCTTCAACTTCTATGAATCTTATTCACACACACACACACTTAAAATGGATTAGATCGTTTAATATCTAAACATCAAATACATATGCCTTTCTGCTTTGTTGAAGTGCACCAACTGTTTTACATTTTAGAATGCTTTTAGCTTTGTTATAGCTGAAGATTTTTTTGTTCTAAGACTTTCTTTGATCACTTTTTCCTTTTTTTATTGTGGCTATTTGTTATTGGCAATTTCTGTTTAGATCATAGGAGTAATGAATTTGGAACAGATTACACTTATTTTATCCAGTTTTATGTGAATTAAATGTTTTGACAACTTGCAGTAATTTTATTTTCCTCAATGATGCAGTGATTCTCCTATAACTTTAAGCTATGTAACAATATTTAGAGTGAAAATGTCTTATCATTGGCTGTCTTTGAGAAGTTTTATTGTTTTTTTTTTTCCCTTAAACTAAATGTCTCATTCAGGAGGATGTTCTTTTATTTTCAATGACTGTTTTAGTGTAATTTTATCACAGGTAACTTGTATTTGTTCAGTTTAATCTGACAAATTTCTATTTTTCAAACTCTTCTTTCCTATCTTAAAGATCCTGTGATGTTGGTTTGTGGTAATTTGGTGAAACTGCAGCATGTTAATATTAAATTGAGTACTTGAAGATTTTTTTTGTGCTACGTGATTCATTGAATATTGCTGAATTTCTTACACATGCAAGGGCTCAAGTTCTACAGCCACCGGGCCTAGTTTGATGGATAGTAAAGGCTTTTGGGTAATGGTAACTCAAATTTAGACCATCAGAAAATACTGAAAACTACCATTAAATATTACATGTAATTGAAAATGTTTTGTTCTGTTATTCATTAATACATTTACATATAATTAAGTTACATATTAGGAGAATAAGGAACAAAAATTCAAATTGCGTCAGTCACAATATATTATTTTCTAATTTAATTTCAATTTTGAATTGATACATTCCTTTTGTTAATATCTAATATGTATGTTTTCTCACAGTTTAACTTCAAGTCCTGTTTGTAACAGTCCAAAGCCTATACATCGTCCAGGCAAAAAGCAAGCACCTCCAGCCCCTGGTGGTCAGCCAAAAGACAAGCCTAGAATATCAGAGAAGTCACTTTCACAAAGCTTTCCTTTTGATGCCTGTGAGGAAACATCCTCTGTTTATTTTGGGGTATCTGATTCAACTGAGAAACATTCTAAGTATGATAAAATTGACAAGCAGTCATCAGCTTTCTCCCAAAATGTGATCGGAACTTCAGAAAAACCAGATCGACTCACCATCTTGCAATCCCATGAAAATCTAACAGGTATTTCTATGGAAAAATGTCCTGTGGTAAAACCCGAAAAACCTGAGCGACCAGAAAAATCAAACAAATATTTATATTCTACTAATTCTTTAGATCGTAAAAATATGACAAAAAGGGGAGAAAAGCCACCCACAGCTCCTCGTTTCTCAAAATTAAGTAGTCACATTGAGAAACCAAATGTTCCTCCTCCTGGTATTCCTGTGAGAAACCATGCAAGTTCAGTTGAAAGACCATCTGTTCCACCTCCACAAGTACCTAGCAAATCTGATGTATTGTTGAAGTCAATTGGATCATCCGAAACTGTAAAAGAGGTTGTTTTACCAGGAAGTATTATGAGAAACACAGAATCTTCCAGTTTTAAGTTATCTGTTCCAGATATTGAAACAAATAACTTGTGTGTATTAGAACCTATGGTTTTATCAGGTGATGATTCAGGTGGTGGTGGGGAAGGCACAGAAGAATCAAATGAAATTCCTCGGATGCAAACCAGTAATGGTGAATCAGAATTTATTTGTAAAGAAAGTTCAGGAAATGGCAGAAAAAACCCACAAACTTTCTCACCCTTTGAGCCGGAATGTTCAGTTAAACAGGATAAATGGAACTTTCTAACTTTTCAGACTATTGAAAAACCACCCGAAAGGCCTCCTCGCACCATTCCACTTCCTGTTGAAACTGGCCACAAGGATAATGATTTAGCTGATGAGTCTTCCAGTGAAAGTTTTGAAGAAGTCAAACCTTGTGTACATCTGACTCGGAAAGATCAACCTCCAGAACGTCCTCCTAGAACCATTGCCCCTCTCAGTATTCACTTAGATCCAGAATTATCTGTTAAACAACCCAGTGACAAAGAGTATTGTACAGTAATCCCGGTTGGAGGATTGGGCACAACTACTGAACCATTTTATTTGAACACCATAAATAGCCAACCAACTCGTCCCCAACCACCACCTATTAGACCAAGAGCTAGTGGTGTTACTGAAGATAACCATCTGTAAGATAAGTTTTTTAGTATTAAATTGTTACCAAAGTTATTGAGCTACTAGAATGTTACAGCTTCTAAACAAAATATATATATTTTTTTTCTCAGTTATTTTAATATAACACAATTTCTCTTGGTGCCTTACAAATATATATCCAATATTCTAGTCTTTTTTTAGAAAAAAAAGAATATTTAAACAAAGTTATTATTTGATCCAAAGTTTGATAGAAAATAATTGTTTTACATTGATGTTAGTAAATGTATTTAATTCAATTAGTCAAAGATATGACCGTACACACAAAACATGGAATTTGTTCATCTTGTTCTGAGATCAAAATAAAACATGTCATTTACGTGATACATTAATACAATATATAAAACCACAGTCAGCAATCTGTAAATTACTGATTAAGCATGGAAAATTCAGATGATACTTAGATAATTTTATGAATACATTTCTCTGTAAAAGTGCCAGTGAAAACATTTTCATGCCATCAATAACAGTGAAGTAAAAAGAAATATCATATTAATAATTTAAGTGTGGAAAACAGAAACAATGTATACCTCATCATTTGATATTGTAATGTGAAAAAACGAATGCAACATGCATGAAACATCAGGTGATTTGATAAGCTATAAAACCATTTCAGTATCAAATAAAAGTGTAACTGATAGGTTTGTTTCAACAGCATCTTAAATGTACTGTAAATCAGTAACTATAGTTCACTTATTATTTCTTATGTTATTTATCATGAAACTTTGCTGTTTTCCAAACTTAAGTAAACATTTTCTTCACACTATTCAAATTCAATGTGTATGTTATGGAAGTTAAAATCATTATTTTGTATATGTGTGTGTGTTCCATTGTTCAGGCCATCTGTTGTATGTCTTAAATAAATTATTAATGGCTGTACGTAACTGATAAAGTAAGTTGATCAGCTTGTTTTAAGTGTACTTTGTTTTCAGTACTAACAAAAACTTGCAAACTCTTGTGTGTTAATATCAGAGAAAGAAAAAGACCCTGTAGCTATGTCGACAAGCTCAACTGCACGTTAACTGTGAGCCTCATGCTCAAAAGTTTCATATAATAGTCTAATTCCTATTAAAGTTAAAAATCTTTTAATGAGGGAACCAAGCTAACCAATTTTCATATTTAACTGACAACTTACATATTTCTATAATTTCTTTTCAGGCACATTGTGCTACTATGTTTAAGAGTAAAAAACACAAAAACTGAAATTTTTTTGGCACAATGAAATGTAACATCTTTATTATCAGTTACAGGTCACACTAGCCATGATGATGGTAATAGTTACAGAAACTAGTCGGTTGTAACTAATAATAATATATTTTACCTTCTATTGTGCTAAAAGAATGTTGTTGTTTTTTACTCTAAATTAAATATTTCTACCCAGAGAAATCAAAATTGTGATATCAAATGCTGTGGTATTATTTCACAAAGATGTTTTACTTTAATGATAATTGTGGTTGTCAAAAAGAATGCTTTTATTTTTGTATTTGTTAAATAGGAAATTACAAAACTGTTGTTTTTTTGTAGCTGTGGTCTAGCAAGCTGACTTAAGTGGCTTTTCTCTAATAGATTGTTTTATCAATAGAATAATGGAGTTCTGTAATTTTTTTGTTTTTAGTTAATCAAATTTGATTATCTGTTTTATGAAGTTTTGAATAGAAATTCCTCAGTATTACCTCCCACCTCCCAAAAATGACGACAGCATTATAAATTGGTAACATGAAACAAAAACTTTAGATTTGATGATGTGTCTGATTGTCTGAAGAATTAACAATGTGTATCTTCTTTTTTTTTTAAAGAGAATGAATACTTTGTAATTCATATAGTGATATTTGAATTTTTAGACACACTTTTATATATAAACCAAGAGTACTAGCATGCCCTGTAACATTATTATAAACTTAGCCATTTCTCATTGGCTCTAGGTGCACATCAATTCTTAATGAGGGTGCAACATGTTGTACCATTTTGTTAATTGATATAAGTGAAATAGCAATGGTTGTGTTCACACTTAAATGTAGGACTTCGAATATTTATCTAAACTTTTGCAGTATTAGATTGAAGGAATCTCATGGGAATAAATATTCTGAGTAAGCTCAGTGGCCAGTTTTGAATCTTGTTTTTTTATGACCTGATTTGAATGTAAAATGGTTAAAAGTTGCCATATTTTTGAATAGTATTTCTCTTAAAAATTTATAAATATTATATGTTTATTATAATAAATGTAAAAACTAATTTTCCCTGAAATAGAAATTATGGGTTTTTCTTTACGTTATTCTTGTATCCCATGTGAAAATATTGAACAGATTTAAGTTATTTCTTCTAGTACTACACTAGTCTTTAGTTTTAAAAAATCTCTTGTATAAATGCTTTGTAGTCTATACACTTGTGTGTGTAGACAAGATAATTCTGAGATTTTTACAATCTTTTGATGTAAAAATTTTAATTGTTTTTTACTTGATTTTTTTTCTCAGTTATTGGACATGATATTTAAACTTTTCATAAGTCTTATTGGAAAAGTCACAAGGGAACTTATCCCATTTATTTCTATGTTAAATGCTATATGTATGCTCATTCTTAGAATCTCCAACATCAGTAGAATTAAGAATACTAGCAGAAATGCTGCCCTATAGGTGGCTGTTTGTATTAGTAATTACTAATCATAGTATTCATACTTAATTCTAAAAAGTTGTTAGAAGTGAACGTTTTCATCTTCACATATTGCAACATTTTTCTTAGCCTGTCTTCTTTTTTGCTTGAGAGATTCTTGGGCTTGTTGTTCCTTTTGCCATCTTGCTCATTCTCTTCATTCATTATCATCTTTATACTTTTTGGCCTTCCCATTTTGGATGGCTTTCTTTGTATCCTCTTCTTGTAAGTTCAAAACATACCCAAAGAATACAGGAAAGTCTGTAAACAATCATCATTTCATCTCTGCATCAATATGTTGATATTTAAAGAATTTTCTGTACTTTTGGTGACATACATAGATACTGATGCTAATGCTATGTCCACTATAGTCAGATTTGAACTGTAATGTTTTTGTTTAAATTTTCTGTAGCTGCTTATATTTTTTTATCAAACAGATCTTATTCACATTGCATAAATTTAAGAGTTAGCTTAAAAGTAAAACCAAACTATTGGAACTAATGAGTAATCAAGAATAATAAAATATATATGAAGAATTTTTTAGAATGTTAATAATTACAGTATAAATTCTCTTGGTTTTATATCATGCTTCTTTTAGCATCATATTTCTTAATATTTTAAAACAATCCTTTAATTTGTTTATTTTTTAATATATATGTCATTATATTTCTTCATGCTTTAAAAGATCATGGTTAGTTTTGGTTTTGTACTGGCACATTTCATAACAAGGATTATTAGTTGTCACGATGTCTTATTGTTTGTCATAATAATGTAGTATTAAAGACTGAAAAAATTATAGGATAAGAATATTGGGTTCAATGTGTAATTATTCTGTACTGTAAGAGGCATACCTGACTAAAGATATTTTATAATGTTTATGGAAGGGTCAAATAAGTAGTTCAATTACACTGCACTATTAATGTTAGTCTGTAACTGTCATTATTTATATAAAGCATGCTTAGACACTTCAAAGGAAATTACTCGACTCTTTCTACGTTTCATTTATTTGTTATTTTGAACCACTTGGTTCTGAAACATGCACATGCCCACGCAAAGAGAACAGGAACTTAGTTATCAGTTCTATAAAAGTTTCTCCCTGGTAAGTGCATAGTATTATCTTTCATATTTTAAATGACTGATGTATTCGTACCTTATGACTCGTAATGGGGGAGTGATCAAGTTAGTTATGTTTTATGGCTGATGCAATCGTAACTTGTGTATTGCTCAACTTAACTGCACCAACTGCTGCGCTGGAGAAACTAACATCACAGACATTTTTATTATTAAGTACAAAAGTCTTTAATGATTAACACTTAAATTACCAGTTCTTCTTTTAATATTGTTTCTTAAGTCATTCTTGGGCCAAAAGATTTATTTCCAAAATTATAACATCTAATATTCAACCACACACTTAGTTTAAAAAAATTGATAAACCCTTACATATGTTGAGACTGTCAAACGTTTTAAAACTATAAGAATGAATGTAAGGTATCATTTGATTAAGTTGCATCTCATAATATAATAAAATTCTGGCTGTAGGTTACTGATGGTTTGCTTACATTTTATATGATCACTTATGGATCTTACTTGATCTAGAAGTACTTGGTTTGTCAGTTTACTGAAATAATAATTTAACAGTTGGATGTTTTAGGTCTTTTGCATTTATTTAGGGTCAGTCTTCCTTGCTCTTACCAAGTGTTGTTCTGAAGTTCCGTATATTTATGATGTGGACTATATATACTTCAAAATAATATGTTTAATTTAGAAATTCTCATTAAACATTTGTTAATCAGTGTTTTGAATATGTATGCTCAGTTAGAATATGTTCATTTTGGAAGATTAAATTTCAATTACATACTAGCTCAACAGATTATTCAACATAAATGTATTAAGAACTTTGTTGAATCTTATTTTGCAATATTTGAAAATCTCTTTTTTTTTTTTTGGTTCAAATCTCCTGTTAGTTATTTAGTGATTAAATATAAAATTGTTTACCTATGTTTGTTTTGGAGTTCACTGAAATTATAAGTTAAGTTCTTTATCAGTTTAATTTAATAGCACATAATTCAGATTTATCTGTGTAAATTGTTATTTTAACATATTGTTAATAATTATGTGAAAGTTGTAATATTTAAGGAGGGCATGTTTCTCAAAAAATAAAAAATCTATACACTGATTTTATTAAGATAAAATTAACATTATGCAGCTTATGGATGTTAATAGTTTAATTATTATGATTTCACTTGGTTGTAAATGATTAAAAGCCTCTAAAAAATAGTAAAAACATTGTGTTAGAATATTTTTAATACCAAAAAAATCTTGGTTATGTAATGCTTAAGTCATTAAAATCCTACGTATGGGACTTCATGAATTTACAAATGAGATGAGGTCATGATGGGGGGATTTGAGGTTACTTTTTATAAGATTTTCCCATTTTTGAAAGATTTAAGTAGATGTGCAAAGAGCAATAAAAATGTATTTATATTAAAAGGCAGTTTTAATCTTATTGATATGAAATACATACATATTTTTTACTATTCCTGTTTACATTTAAACTGCTGGTGTTCTTTTGCTGTTATAGTGTCTTGTGAGCACAATAAGAAACTGTTTAATGACCATTGTTTACTAAAACATTTATATAACTTTGTGCAATATTAAAAGTGTAAACGTAGGACAGTTATTATTATTTAGTGGATAAAAAATTATATTTTGTAGAACAAGTACATGTAAGAACAGTAGTAATATATTTTTGTTGTCCAATGTGATAATTTTTCTGTTAAAAAAATTTAAAAATTCATTTGTATTAGGTATCAAAATTAGAACTGAACAGAAACGTAGTAAGTACTTGTTTTTTTGTGATTTAAGTAAAAATATTTTGATATGTTATGGAAGTATACATAATTTGTTTCAGCAAATGCACATGTTGCTGAGTGATGTTAGTGAAAAAGAAGTAATACATTTAACCAGTATTTCTCCTATTCTTCAGTACTTTTGTATCATGTATTTTTTAGACAAGATCAACTGTAGAACTGAGTGAGAAGTTTTTGAGAAAAACATTCTTTAAAGACTATTTACTATTTTACTTGTAATATTCACTTTAACAATAAAGCTTGTCAAGCAAACCTTGAAGAGAAGTTTCATGGTTAAAGAGTCACTTACTTAGTTGTAACACTGTTTTTGTAATAACAAAGAAATGTTGTGTTTTTTGTACCAGCAAATGAATTGCAAGAATTTTAGCTTTCTTTAAAAAAAGGTTGACAGAAAGCAGTTTAAATATTAAAAAAAAATTAATTTTAACAATTACACATTTTTTATTGCTAATTATGTACTATATACTAGTACATGCACAAAGTAAATGAAAATTGTAATGTTTGAACTTAAATCTGTAAAACCAAGTTTTTGAATGGACTGATCTTATATATATCATTTATGAGTTTTCAATACTGTTAAAGTGTGAAAGAAAAGAATACTTGTTTTTAACTGTTATGATCTTAAGGAACTAGCAGAAGGAGCTAATAATTTCTTTTGTTTTATTATGCATCACACTTGTAAATATGTTTTAACTCTTAATGATTGTGAGTGTAGCCTGCTAGAAGTTGTTTTTGTCAATAGCCTCATACATATCGCTCCTTTTTCACCCAGCATGTATGCTTTGGTTAATTATATTATTCAAGTTTGCACATTAGAAAATCAGTTGATGGAGTACCTTATTGGTCCCTACATTTCAAGGCTTGTGTTGGTTATGTGAATGACAAGTTCAACACGTGTAAAGATGGTTGAGTATATTATATTAAAATAATTTCAAATCTGCAAATCAACAAAGTGACACGCCAATCTCACCCAGAAAGTTGTAGTGGAACAGCACGTATCAGAACTATTTTCGACATTGTCTAATGTTTTGTATATAGTGTTATGCCACCAAAAATTGATCACTTTTAGGAGGGATTTGTATCAGTCTATTCCAATGTGAAAAGATGATAAAGTTCTGTTAAGATGGGGATTTAGAATTTTCAAAAAGTGGATATTCCTTGTACTTGATGGTATTGCAAAACAAAGGACTATGGATCAACTTGGAAAAGCAAGACCATCCAGAAAGAAACTTTCAATAAATCATACCCCAGCAGTAGTAAGTAAAGTGTAGTGTCTTGGTAAGAAGCCACGAACACAAAGTTTAGTGGCAAAAGCTATCCACATTCCCCAGGCAACAGTACACAACATAATCAAGAAGGATCTGCATTTGGGGGAATCATGTACACAAGTTGCTTCCATAACATGTCTATCCAATTTTACCATACCTCAAACAGCTGAAGAATGAAATGAGTATTCATAGTAAAGTCACAGGATACAGCACCTGTGGATTTCTGTGCAATCTGACTGTAGAAACAGGTATTAGGAAACCACTGTCCTGCACACTAGATGGATTATGGAAAGTAAGCAGTGAGGTCCTTTGGATATAACCTTATGACAAATCTATTTGCAATGGAAACTACTCTGCAGGGCTATTGTTAAGATGCAGCTGATAGAGCATGACTGGACATGGACTAAGCAAATCTCCAAAAATCTTTGTGCTATACTCAATCTCAGTTTATGAATGAAGTCCATATTGATTTTAACTGTATAACAATTAACTTCTATTTTTTTTTTCAAAGTCATACAAACATGAGTCATACATGAGGTAGGATTATCTTGAAATATAATGTTTCTAAATTAAAAATATCTAAAATGAGAAGTAATTATCACAGCCACTGTCATCTGCCTTACAGCATTTACAGACAGCCTGTATCTAGCAAGATATTTCAAGTAATTGTAAACCTCCACTTTGGAATATCTTCCTTATTCCACATGTAGCTTAACTTTATGATTATTTTAAGCAAATACTAAAGTAAATCTTTTTCTTGTACCAAATTTTTATTATTTACAAATTAGAAACAATTAAAAAAGTTGTTTTTTTGTTCATTTCATAATAATAGTATTCCTAGTCTTGTCAACAAAGCACAATTTAAAAAGTTATAACAGAATATATAATTGGCTGGCTGACAATATAATGTCATTTATAAAATATGTAGTCTATGGGGTAACTAGGTAATAAACTTTTATTTGAACATAATTACTATACGATGCTGTAATGTTAAACTACTTGAATATATAACTTGTTGAGTGATAGTGTAATGCTGAACATATCGGAACCACTTGTTTTTATGCAGAGTTTGATGTGGTTGTAAAAAGAAGTATCAACAAACATTCACACATTTCATTTTATTGATTTGGAAAAAGCTTGTTTAATAAACTAAACAAAAGCAACAACAAAAATCTACCATCCCCAAGTTAAAAAGTACGTACTAGTTAGAACCTTAATTAAGAAACACATCACAATACTAGTTAGCTTTTCTTTCACATATTAAACTGTCAATATTACTAGAAAAAAAATCAATTAGGTATCTTTAAAAAAAGATTCCAAACACCAGTTCAACTACACAAATAGATATTTAAAAACTTAATCTACCAAAAATTGAAATAAGATTTACATTCAATAATTAACATAAATTTGTGTTTCCACAATCTACCTTAGTTCTGGCCCTGGTACACACAGTTTATTCCCTCGTGAATAAGGTTTTTCACAGATTTTATTTTTCATCAAACTTTTAAGTTCTGAAATGACTACTGTAAATCCAGTAGCCAGTTATAGTATAAAAAGGAATATATGAAATGTGCTTCAAGCCAAACGTTCCTTGATTTTCATGACTGTAACATTAAAAACGATATCATGTACAATTATACAAGAACTGTATGGTAGCATTTTAACATTTGACTGGAAATAAGGAAGACAAATTCATTGTTTAAATAGTTTATAGCAAAACGACTACAAAATAAATTTTTGTATTATTAACAGCTGTTATTTTTTCCACTTTGAAAAAACACTAACCATCACATTTTACTAATGTGTAATAAATCAAATCCAATGTTCAGTTTTCTTTATTACAAGGCATCAAAACTAAACAATTTGAATCCACAGTTATTTCTGTAATGACTGCTTAATTAATACCCTTTATGTGAAGAATGAACTAGCCAACATCAAACTATGTACAAACCTGAACACCACGAAAGACACTGAACAATATACCTAAACATTTGTTTTTTTTCAACTTTTAACAACCAACAAAATGTGAAATTATATAATTCAAGTTATGTTATCATGGGATTAGTACCGAGCCACATATGCACTGTACTATATTTAATACCTTGAACAGCAACTTTTTTTCCCATTCTTGTTTTTGAATTTTTTAATTGTTTTCATCCATCATTTTGTTGTTAACTGTATACACCCAACATGTTTCAGTAAATAAATAGTGGCAACAGACATTAATCTGTAGTTGTTTGATCTCAAGTGGCCAATCCTTTCTCTTATTAGTAGGTCATAAAATCAGAATTACTAAACACTTCTCTCTGACAGACTTGTACAATTACTTACCATTTTTATTACAGTCTGGCAAGCAATAGTAAACACAATGTAATATTTAGATTTGTGCATGTACATTCTCCAAAAGTATGTTTCTGTGTACAAGGAAACATCTCTCTTCTGAAAGCTTTTAATATTTTCTAATAACATACTTACACCCCTTATATCATGTTTAAAATTGTCATTGAAAGAAAAGCTTCAATATTGTAGAATAACATTAAACACATCTAGGTACATAAAAACAATCTCCACACACAAACTGTGACAAAAAGTACCTATATGTGTACAAATAAATTTCTAAACTGATGCATGAACAGTATAGCAGCCACATCTGTAGAGATCATCTTTGTTATACTGGTCAATATCCAAGATCTGTCCAAGGTGATATTTATGCATGGCTACATCTAATTTAAAACTGAAAAATTTATTTTTGTAAAAGCCAAGTTTCAATGATATGGGTCTTCTGTGGACTATATGCAACATATCCTAGAATGTGGATTTCACACTTATTAACACGTCATATCATCAGAAAGTCAGACCCTGAAAATTTATGTACACGAATATATTTAAGTGATAGCTCAACTTCAAATAGAATAATATACTTTATTATTTGTGTTAGCCAAAAAATAAAACATTTACAAATATTAAAAAAATTTGGAATATTTCTCTTTTGAAGCATCATTATGGAAAAAAGCTTGGTGATTTTTCCCTCCAACTTTCATACATCCTTTGGTGTCTCTGAAAATGATGGAAACTTCTTATGTATATACAATTATACACTCACTGCGTTAAGTCTCTGTTCAAATATCAGTGGCCTACTAAATTATACAAGACAGCAGGCTCACACCCATGTTATTAATGCAAGCATCAGGCTGGTCTGCTTGTTATTTTGCCATATTACGTATTTGTTACCATGGTTGGTCCAAGAACAGTCATTTTAATCAGTACATTACAATATTCACAGATTTGTCTTAACACTCACAGACTTACAAAAATTAAAATACACCCAAAGGGCAGGAGTGAAATATGAATTAATAAATAATATTTTAGGCTTAGTACAAAAATAACTATTTCCTCTTTTTTATAGTTTATTCTTTCAATAAAATTTTAAAATACATGTGTATACAGGAGTTTAGTTTATAGTCTGTTGTTAAAATATAGTGTATTGACAGTATGTATACAGTGCATGATGTTTTACACCAGGGCACCAGAATTGGTGAAGCATTTGTCCACCAATAATTTAGTCACTAAAGTTTTTTGAAGCTTCTGTTGAATATTTTTGTTACTGAACAATGTTATTGCCCATTGATATAACCTGATGGTTAATTATTGCCACCATCAGGTTAGTTTCAAACTAAGGATTGGCACATTTTGTATCATGCTGTAATTTATTTTTCAGGTATGTCTGTTGTCACTTGTATTGCAAGTAACAATGGACAGCAAACATACACAGTGAAACACTTATTTTAGAAATGTAATAGTGCACTATAAGCTTTGGAGTAGGGCTACCAAATTTTGTTATGGTACCACTGCTGTCTATTAATTAAAATTAGTATAAAGAATGAAAATTTCCATAAGTCTAAATTTACTTTCAGCACCCCTGTTACAGTATGTGCACACTGCCAAACAATGCATGTTGCACTGTTTATACATCTAAAGTGTGTTATCACAAAGTGCATCTGATATGGTCAGTTGTACAATTTATATATTGCATTCTTTTTTTTTACATTTAGTTCAAACTATGTATACAATCATGCACTGCTTATTACATAAACAGTCTAGTTAAAAATCAAATGGTCACCGTTACTTCTTATTTTATACTGCAAATCGTGAATTTTTGGTTTTTGTTTTTTAGATTTACTTTTAGAATCAAAATGGTCATTTTTCACAATAAATAGAATACACCAACTAACATAGCTACAGGTGGTCTCTACAGATAGGCTTCACTATCCTACATAAATTATTTTGCAATTAATAATGCTTATTGATTAAAAGCTGTTTATTATTAATACTACTAACTAAATAAATCATCTAAAAATGTTCAACCAGTTAGGGAAATTGATAACCAACTTTAAGTTTGCAACTTGTCTTAATTTACATGAAAAACAAACAAGGCACTGATATATATATTACATTTTGTTCAACAGTTCTAAGTTTATGTATTCAAAAAGAAAACTCTGAAAGAAATTTGTAATTACAATTATATATAAGTATTTCTCAGTAATCAGATTTTTTCTTAACTAGGCTGATACTTACATAAATAGACAAACGTGTATTTTTTTTCTAAGCTGAAGCCTTTAGTTAAGTACAGCTCACTGGGATAGAAATTATCACACAGAGCTTTTAGTACCTGATACTTTATTTCAGTCTTGTTAAGAAATATTAAGAAAAAGTAATATTTCGGCTTCAGTATTCTACCTCTATCAGCTAACTGCTTCTTTCACATTTTAAAAAGCCATATTAGACAAACACAGTGTCATCACAGTGTGTGTAGTTAGTGTCATTTATAAAAACAGGAAAAAATACATCCACCAATTTCAGAGCTGGGACTAACCCGTACAGTAAATCAATACAAAAGAACAATAAAATTTAACAGACTGGTGTATCTGAAATTTTAGAGCAGAGAACAAGGCTTCTTTTTCTTTGGCTTAGGTTGGGGACAAAGCACAGCCCTAATGGCTTCATCAAATACATTTTTTAATCCTTTCTGTGTGAGTGCTGAACATTCAAGGTATTTCACGGCTCCGATCTCTTTGGCCATTGCCAAACCCTGAGGGTAAGTGATTGGAGCCAGCTTGCGATCTTTCAGTTTGTCAATGGTCTCCTTATCTTCTCTCAAGTCTAACTTGGTACCCACCAGAATAATAGGAGTGTTGGGACAGTGATGACTCACTTCAGGATACCACTGATAGAGAGAGATAGACATATACAAGGTTTAAGTACAGTCCACTATTATGGTCATAACCTTTGTTAGTTACACTGGAAATATAAGAACTCATCTACTAACTACTTCTGCACTAAAAGAACTCACTTATCTTTCCTCTTTCTAAAATCTTTTATCTTTATATATATATGTATATAGCAAAAAAAATGTAAGGCCATATTTAACTGTAAGAGGTATTTCGTGTACATTACTTAATTTTTCATGGTACTGGCACATACTTCTCTGTCTTGATTTTATGATACTAATTAATTTAAAACATTCTAAACTGTGCTCATTTTTTATGTTATTACAAGAATAAATAAAATTCCATGTGGTATCAAAACAAAATGATTTTTTTATGGGATAAGTAGCTAATAGTTCAAAGTGAATGAGGAAAATAAAAAACAAAGACATAAAACACCATCATAACACAGATTTATGATTCGTGAGTCATACTATATTGTGGTTTTGTATGTCATACTTAAAAAAAAAAGAACAACACAAAAACACTGACATTAAAAGAAAGAAGAAATCTACTATACATGTTAATTGTTAGTCATAACTAAACCTAATATTACATAAGCTTAGCAAATTTTCCCAAATATGGAAGTACTTAAATCAGAAGAAATACAAATGTGTTCTAAACTTTACTGATTAAGATAAATCTTTATCCTTGCATTTATTACAAGAAAAACTTTTCAGCACAACAACCTTGGATGTCTAGTACAGACACTATAAAACTAGTTGATAAAAGTATAAAATTGGTATATAATTCTCATACATATATACTTTAGACACCTTCAAATTAAGCCTTTATCATCAGCAACTTTTAAAAACCTTTTAGATGAAAGGTTCAAGAGAACTTGGAATCTAATGCAAACATATGCTGAAAAATACACAATCACATTGCTCAAAACTATTTATAACTTTTCTTTTAATAAAGCCACCACATAACTAGGATTATATACACCTAGTTAACAGAGCTGGTTGATTGGTGGAATTTGTTAATCAGACTCATTAATCAATTACATTCAACTAATCATTTATTCTCATAAGATGGGTAAAAACAATATAACACTACAAGCTTTGATACCTGTATTAGGCACAACACAAGATAGCCCATTGTGTAGCTTTGTGCTTAACAACAAATATACGTAATGGCAATATTTCAAATACTTGGATAGTTGGAATTAACAAAAATAGTAATACTTGGAAACCCTAATTTCGATTAGTTGATTATTTTTGCAAGTTATGACACTGATAATGGCATTGTTTCAGTCAATGGATAGATGAAATAATCAAAAACAGTAATACTAGGTTACAATAATTTTGTTTAATTTGTGATGTTAATCAACTTAATCATATTTTTGATTAATAAGTTATTCAATGTTACACTAATTGATGTTCAGAAATATTTTATTAAATTAACTTTAGAAGTGAACAATACTAACCAACATTAACACATTAATTAATTAAATAATTCTAAATGTGATAAACAACACCCAAGTCTTAGCACCTTCTGGCAATCACAATTTGAAATTCTCACTTTTCAGTTAATTTTTCATCCAATAGCAGTTTTAATTCCCCTTACAATTTTAATAATAAAAATATATCAATTTTGTGTTATTAACCCTATAAATTAAATACTAGCAATTTCAGACATAGAAACATAATTTGATTTTTTTGTATGATTTTTTTGGGTGATAAACATAAATACTACTGTTTTTTTTTAAGTCTTTAATAAAACTTATTTCCTTTTGTTGAGCTGGATTATCTAGCTATGCCATACAAAGTTTATGCTACTGAATCTTTACTGCATACTTCTATATTTTGCTGTTCCAGACATTATTCATTTAAGTTATAACAGTTCAAGCCACCCAAAACAAACAGCAAAAAGGAGTCAATTTTTTAACTTGATAGTTTCAGTCAACTGTTACCATGTTCAATTCAAAACAATGAAAAAATTAGCAAGTAAAATCATCTGTTACATAAAATACTTAACTGATAAGTAATAAATAAAGATATAGTACTTTAATCTCACTTTTATGAAAGATGCGTTTAGTTTTTCATAGTTCAAGGACTTTCTTGAGATGGTATAAATGCACCCATAAAGATATATTCCACTGAATGAACCCAGCACTTTTAGGGTTCTATAGCAAGCATTTTGCAACTTTCAAATATGATTTGGCAACAAGATTAAACTGTTCAAATTAAAGACAAAACACTATTTACAAGATCCAGCACTAATAGTGATGAAAAACGTTGGTAACTTAATGTATAAATTTAAAAACCTGCAGTCAATGACTTACCTTTGCTCGAACATTTTCAAAAGATGCTGGATTTACTAAAGAGAAACAGATGAGAAAAACATCCTGCAAGAAGAATTAACATATGATTATCAAATCTCATATTACTGTTTGTGAGGGTCCAATTATACAAACACAACTTATTAAATGTACTTCCATAATTCTAAACTACATACCACAGTATGGATTACAAAATATTTAAAAACCCTCAGGAGTTAACTTGTTTTGTAACTACATTATGTTTTGTTTCAAGGACTCCACAGACTAAAAACTTAGTCTTTTTTGTTCAGAGTTTAGGGTATTTAAGATTCCTGTACTATATAATTAATTATGCAATGAACTTACCAACTTGTACAAGTCTATTTGTTCTATCTCAAATTACAAATAAAGGCAAGAAGAAAATGTAGAAACACGTGGTGTAGATATATGCAAGTCTTGGCATGTGACTTTTTTCCCTTTAAATTACCACAATGGAAATGACAAGTTACATATACCAATCTAATATTTTCCACACCAAAAATAATAACAATAATCAAACCAAAGAATCTGTTAGGTCTGATTCTGGATAAAGTGGACATGTTAATAAAATTAAATATTTGAAAAGTTTAGCAATAAGAACATAAGTTTAGAATGTTTGCAAAAAAAAAAAACTTTTTAGAAGTGCCTTACAACAAAATGTATAAGCAAAAAAAAAACAACTATATATTTAATGTAGGAAGCAATCAAGACTGAAATGACATGGGCTACGATGTTTTGCAAGTCATTGGATGAGTTGAAATAAAAGTAATACATCATTGGAATAAAACTTAATTAACAACAGAGAAAATTTAATACAAGCAAATCTTTTTTTTTTCAGTCTAGATTATTTCTTGTTGAGAGAATATACCAAACAAGATTAGCATCAACACTACATATTTGTCTCAATACAGATTATCTGTAGTGAGTAAATGACAACCAAAACACCCATACATAAAAAGGCTTTATTTTGTTCTTTGTAAGAGCTACTGATCAGGAATGGAATACCCCCCCCCCCCCAAAAAAAAAATTTACTTTGGTATAAAGCAATAGACACAAATTATTAACATATTTTCTTTTGTGCACCATTTAATACATTTACAGTAATCACACTTGTTATTTAACTAATAGTTTTTACAGTATATATATATTAATGATAAACTGCTCATATATCAATCTTTCAGATATTTTTTAGAAATAGTTATGATCACTAAATAAAAATCAGATAACTTCTTTTAAAGCTCAAAGTATTACAAATTTAAGCTTCATAAAAGAAAAATTTTTCTACTGATTATTTACTAAAAACATTTTTGAAAATGCTCTAGTGTACAGAAACAGTTGAAAAAAATAGACACTAAAAATTTTAATAACTCAAGTTCTCTTAAGGATTAGGAGGTATGGTTAGTTAGTTATCATATCTTTACAATTAAACATGAAAATGAATTGATAAAAATTTAAATACTCTTAAGGCTTCAACAATTATATCACATACTAATGAGTATAGGCCAGTATTACCCAGTACTCTTATATGCTATACAATGCTCAAATTAAAAACAAAGTTTCAAACTTGGCATTATTTAAACTAACTGTTTTAATGACTGTTCATATTAAAATAGCAAGAAAATGTACTATATCCTTTTTTTTCATTAAAAAATTTCCCATATGCATCTAGTTAATTATCAATAAAACAGGAGTGATATATCTATCTAAAACCTGAAAAACAAACAATCAGTGAAAACTTACAGTTTGTGGATAAGAAAGAGGTCTTAATCTATCATAATCTTCCTGTCCTGCTGTATCCCACAGACCAAGGTTAATTGGCTTTCCATCAACCATAACATTTGCTGAGTAGTTGTCAAATCTGGAAAGAAAAAGTTGCATCATGGATACATTACTAACACTAAACATACTGTTTAACTGTATGGTAATAATGTTCATATTATATTAGGAATGAGTTTTCAAATGAATATGGAAAGTTTGATCATAAGAAATTAAAATCTACTAACATGTTTCTGACAAACAAGTACTCTCTTATTTCATAACTATCGAACTTGTACAGATTGATCTTCATCCAAAAAAACAGAGATGCAAATTTTTTCAAATTGCACAAAATGATCTTTTCAATATGCTGATAGTTAAATAGTTCAAACAGTAGGAAGATTGACATTCAGGATATTAATGATATCCCAACAGAACATAAGTACCATAGCAACAGTGGAAGAATGGGTGATGTCACAATATAAAACAAATACTATATAATCATAGACACTGTTTTGTTATAGGAAAATCATAACGTTACAGCAGCATCATACAGTTTGAAGGAACTAAAAACACATTAACATAGAACAAGAAAATATAACTTAGTCTATGCTTTCAGAATAGAATACATGCACTACACAAATATTTTATATTAATTATATTGGAAGTACAATTCAAATTACAAATACAGAAGAACCAGTTACATCATTCCTGAATACATGTACTAAACACATAAATAATAATTCAACAATACAAGGACTGAAATGCAAAAATAAAATACTTGATTAAATTTTGCTTTACATTATCTCATTTTCAACAAGCAGTTTTTCAGATTTCTTCTCATCTCTTTGAAAATTCAGTACCACATAGCACAATAACTTTAAAATGTATCAGTTTTCATAAAAATTATAACACTTTATGACATTATGAAGCTACTAATATCTTATTATTTTATCATTTACATAATCAGATTTCTCTGTAGAATGATGAAAGCAAATAGCAAAAATGTTAATTTTTTTATCTATATTAGATTATTTTCATGTCTCTGTAACTTTGTTTTGATTATGGTCTCAGAAATATTTTTGGGATCGTACCTCAACTGAACTGACAAATGATTACATAAGTACTCTACTTTTAAACATTTCTATTCTGAGCTTGTTCATAAACTATTCATTTGAGCAAGACTTTATTTCTTGAAATTAAATTTAGCAACAACATATCTATATTCTCAGTTTGTCCAGCTCATTCATCCGTCATATTTATTCCTTTCAAATAAATGATTTTTCTGAGAGCTTAATTAAGCTTTCACTACAGATAGGTCCGACTAGTTTTAAAGCTATTGGGATATATGTTATAAGAATATTTAAAAAGAGTTCAGTTGTATGATAAATCTAAGATATAAATTGTAAAGTGATAAATTTCACATCTGCTTCCAAATTCTCATTGCTTTACATTTACGTAACCTAACAAATCGCATAACACAGGTTTAATGAAAACACTGCTATTACTATTTAAAGTTTTTTAAACAATTATTTATGCACCATTTTTGTTCATCATATTAAGTGGCAAGTGTTTTTATTTTATGCATTGATTTTATCAGATTTAGCTTTATTTACATGTTTTTTTTTGGTAAATTCTTCAGGTAACTTTCATACTCACACTGTAGGTATGTATTCACCAGGGAAGGCATTAGTTGTATAACTGATGAGGAGACATGTTTTACCAACAGCACTGTAAGAAAAAGAGGTATATATATATTTTGTACATTTCATTTACTAATAAACATGTAAAAATGAAACAAAAATTCCAATAAATGTTTTACACAAACATAAGAATAATTTAATTTTACAGACAAACTTTAGAAAACCTCAACATTCCTGTTTAATACTTAATTACTTCCTCTTGTAATTATCTCAGGTATATCATTCATCCATTTAAATGTGAAATCCAAACATTACTGATCGGTGATGTCATTAACTAAACTTATAAATATATATTACTACATTTCTATAAAATTATTAACATTTGCTTAGCTGTTAATGTTTTCTGCAACTTTTCACAACAATTTCTTATATTTTGTTATACTTACAACTAGTTATGTTTTAAAACATTCATGTATAAAAATAAAATATATACCCATTAAGTTATTTCCTCATTATTTATGTAGTTTTTCATATATTCCTTAAAAACAATGAATGACTATGTTCAAAGAATTTCATAAAATTGCATGAGCACCAACCATGACCAGAGCAATATTTAGTTTCATTGTGCAAAACATTATTATCAGCATTTTTGTATTATTCCATCAATAATAAATCATCAGCACATTCAGAAACCCATTGGTGTACTTGCAATGTGCCAGTAGTGTTAAAATCAAATTCATTATCAATATACTATTCAGAAGAACTACTATTCTAACTTTGGCCAACCTTAAAATCATAAACTTTCAAAATCTGTTAAAATGCTGTTCATAAAACAATGCAAATATGATTGGGATATCCCTTACTCTGAAAGTCCTACGAGGGGACACATTACAATGTCAAACAAGGACACTGCAGCAACACCAGGGTTTCGTAAGCACTATACCCAAACAACAGCATCAGACACAATGTCCACAACACCTGTTGAGAACACCCAATTGACTCTACTCAATTGACCCTAGCCCGAAGGGACCAGCTGACTGACCCTGGGGGGGGGGGGCACCCGTCTATAGAGATTCAAGGCCAAAGTGGCGTGTTGCAATGCCCCAGACACCACTCAACCACCAGGATCCTCTCCTCCCTTCATGAGTCGCCACGCACAGCAAACATGTGGGTGGATGTTTAGATCCAAGAGGAGGTAACTGAAAATATAGAACCTTCCCTGGGAAGTCCCCTCACCATGTACAGGAATCCACCCTGAGGGGGGGGGGCAGTACTTGGATTGGTTGGATAATTGGAATAATCACAAACACTTAGATTTTAGTTAATCAAATATTTTACATGACACTAATCTGTGTAATTAATGTTCATACATAACCAATTATTTTAATTAATCTTCCAGCTCTATATATGACACCACCTGTTCAAAATGCATGGCAAGTGATGCATGATATATTCTAGGATTGCTACAGTAAACTTTCTTCAGAATCTATGGTATTAATGATTTTGTTTAGGACAAAAGTTACTGTCACCAGTGAACATAACATATATTTATCAGATTTAAAGAGCCAATGTAATCCATTACAGTGCCGAAACTAAACAAAGACACATTTCCCATACTAGCTAAGCATGAAAATTCTTATACACCCAAGCCATAAAGATCTATCATTATGTCTGTTCTAAAAATTCTGCAATACTTTTGGGACAAAAAAGAAATCAGATACTTCCACAAAATGCAGGTTGCCTTCTGTTATTACATCACAACCTCAAATCCCTTAACTTTTAAATACTGAACATGGATATCCGAGTGAGAAATTCCAATGTGTAAAGCTTTGCAATTCATTTGAAAAACCAAAACATTCTGATATATTTAGCAAATTATCCCTTATTGCTCTATTGATTAAAACTAAGGATTTTTTTCCTTTATATTTAGCAAATTTCATTTCCTTACTCTATTAAAACAAAGTTCATGACAGTAATGTAACTCATAGTTCAATACAGTAAAACACACTATTCTACTTTTCATAAAACATATTTAAAAAACACCGACAGCTGACACTGGGATCATTTAGATATCTTAAAACACCATTCTATAATATAAGACATTAACTGACACTTTTTGAGAGGCTATATTAAGTGCATAAGGTTGTGCACTGCTAGATATCACTATACAAGCATCTGGCTTACCTCAATGTTGATACATAATAAAACATACCACTCTGTAAAAAAATGTGTAGTAAAAGTGAATTATGAAGAAACTGTGTATAAAAGTAATGCTGTAAATATAGCAAAACCAACCTATATTCGTTTTTTTTTTAAAATTAAAGTGAAACAAACAGACCGGTACTCTATTTCACTAGTGTTAATACAGGTGAAATACGATGAAACATGTCAAAATAACAACTTATTTAAATTATCTACTGAAAAATATGTCGTTATAATAAAGAACCAATTCTGCACGTTATGTTACACGAGATGGTGGTGATACCATACAACTTGTTAATGAGATCCGGAAAAGCCTAGAACGTAGGGCTATCATGTACGAATACGAAAAACCACAAGATAACGCACATGTAAGCAACCCTAATTAGGCCGCGTACAAGAGGAAGTTACTCCAGCTAGTATGTGGAGTGTGTATACATGATACGGTGTTTGGCCTCACGTAAAGGTATGCTAAAATAATGAAAATGAATATACTCACTATATACATAATTATATTCATTTTTGATAACTAAACTGACGCTCATCGTCACGTTATTTTACAGGTAAATTTATAAAGGGAATTACGTTACGAGTGTAACACAAACACGTGCATGCATACACTGTAAATATCGTCTTGTTTTACACCAAAACAAATTATTTTACTTAAACAGTTGATAGAACTTATTAAAAATTACATAGATAGTCTTTGTAATTTATCTACACTAGTTTTAGAAACTGAATTATCGTCATTTTTAATATAATCAAAATCTGTTTAGTATTCAATACTTTCTGAATAATCTAGAACTTCGTTTTCTGTTGAAATCATTCAGCCTCGTTATGTATAAGTACTGACATACTTCGTAGCTGTGGCGCAAATCAGTAAAGTGCAGGGCCCGTTACAAACAATCACGCATGCAAAATTGCAATCACAATGTTCGAAGGTCACATGTCATCGTTATCTACGAGTGATATTAATTTTCAAAAATATGTGGCAACATTATGAAACCATCTTACTGTAATCACATTTGTCAGCAGCTGAAGAACAATCAATACTACCCACAGTTTACAGCCACTATGGTATACTATATGTTGGAATTGGAAACAAAGATAGATACAAAGACTTGAAGGAAGATGAGCGGAATGAAGCCATAGACAGGATCACAAAAACAGCCGAGCATAATTCCAACACAGATCCAGTGGCTGTTTGATATGGCATGGCTGAAACCAGAGTTGAACACAAATTACTGGGAAGGGAATATCTATGGAAATAGATAGCAGTACTGCATCTTAAACGTGATGGAAAGAATTTTATGGGAGTTGGCACTGATAAATAAAAAAAATATGAGAATGAAAAGTTAAATCTAGCAACTGGAACACTAGCAGGACCGAGGTCAGCGAAAATCGAGAAAAATGAGAGCGAATGAAGGATTAAATGAAGACAGCACTTAAAGAGTGAAACTAAATAGGGAGAATAATAACTTAGTGGCATATGTGATTTAACCATTTGGTTTTGTTACAGTTGTTTAGAAATACTAAAATGTGCAATTACGAATCACAAAAATCTTCAAAAAACAAAAAACAATTATAATTATATGCATGCCTTTTGTTTTACCTCAGACCTCAATATAAAGTTACAGGTACTACATGGTATCTAACATAGGCATTACTTATTGTTGTTTTAGCGCAAAGCTCATAATGGGCAAGGTGTGTTCTGACCATCGCGGGGGAATCGAACCCTGGATTTTAATGTTGCAATTCCATAATCTTACCGCTGACCCACGGGAGGGGGGGGGGCTGCACATTTATTAATATCAATATTCTGGACACTAAAATTTAAAATATTCGATGAAAAATTCTAGTTTGAAAAAGAAAATGCCGAAAACTTTTCTGAAAATTTAAAATTCCTAACTGTAGTAACATACGAGGGAGTACATGAAGTATTTTACTTCAGTTTATCGATATTACAAAAGTCACATTAAACCTTCAGCTTACTTTCATGTAACATAAAACACTAGATCTCTCAAGCATATCTGTTTCAGTTGTTTTGAAACGTCGCAAAGAACAGCCTACTGGTTAATGTGTGGGTCTGCAAATCACGTAGTCCAAGGTTCTAGTCGTGATATGTCACTGAACTGCACTTTCAGCCGTTGTGGCGTTACAACCGAGACTCTTTGTTTTGGATATTCGTGCCAAGTTACTATGCTAGCCGTCACCTAATTTAGAACTGTTAGACTAGAGTGAAGGCAGCTATTCAAGAGTTTCACCACTAATTCTTGGGCTACTATAATCGAATAGTGGGATTTGACCATCATTCATATAATGCACCCACTCCAAAGTGCAAACTGACTTTACAGGAAAGGAGCGTGAACCAAGGATCCTTGGATTATGGCCATACCCAACCTCTGAAACACACGATTCCATTACCTGGTTAAGGTAGTAGGTTATACTAATTGATTGCCCTACTTTTAGTTGGTTAATTTATTTTCAAGAGCAAAGATTCACACCAGGTTTTCTGCATTGTTCCTACAATAGGGGCGGAACTCCTCTCTCTGTGTAAGCAGTTCTAAAGTGACGATCCCTAAGTCTAAGCTTTACGAGTCTCCAACTTATCGATTAATCCAGGTGTCATCTATATCTTGTTTCTATATCTGTATAATAATGAAAGTACTGTAAAAGACTTTAGGAAAGCGTTGTAGAATGTTATATAGTTACATTACTTCAATTTACTTGAAATCTTGTAAACATTTCCTAAAATATTTTAGATGTAGACATGATTGTAAACTGAGTTTCAAACATTATTAACAACATATGAAGTTATTTTACACTTCGCTAATTTTGACGCTTCTCGTGTATGCACTGATTCTTTAAGAGATATTATAAAGTCCGCAA